CCCCCCCCCCCCCCCCGCAATGACAGGTTTCGGGGTCGAACGGCGCGGAATTTTAGTGTCAAGAGATGGGGTTCTTAACAACAGAAATTGAGCGGATAAAACGGGCATAAGTCATCAGTTCATGAAACATTTCTAAAATGTTCACAGTTTGCGGTGGAATTGTTTATGGCTCCACAAAACGGACGAGCACTGACGTCGACAGATCACAAATAATTGATCGCGTTCGATAAACCTACGCGTTGGAGGACATCGAATCCTTTATCTGTACAGTCATTCGGGGCAAGCAATTTACGAACTTCCGTGTTCGAAAAAAAAAGTTCTCCTTTATGCCGTCGTAGTATACGCCCCCTTCAACGACTCTGCGAACTGATTAACATTATCCGACGCCGAACAAAAAACAATGGAACGATTACGAATTCCATTGTCTGAATGGTGGTATCTCCCAGGGGAACTATACAGAACCTGGGGGACAAACCCAGTCTTCCCGCTGGCCAATTGCGTGTTCTGATGGCATTTTACGACTTGAAACAAACGAAATCTTCTCTGCCATTTGCAGTTAAACAGTGTAATCAGAAGGAATAAGCCGTTTCTATTACTCAGCGACTGAAACATGACTCAGCGCGCGTCTACATAAGAAAAGAGACACATGACTGTTCCACTTTCACTAACTTCTGTGTTTTCTTCCTGAACACAATTCCAATTCTTAGTGTCTTAACAGGATGCACGCTTACATGTGATGCAACCACGAGCCTTAAACAACCTTACTCTTGTAACTGCTACGTACTTCTTATAAAAAAATGCCGATAATTTATCCGCAGACAGAACTTACCTTCCGACCGACACATGCGTTGGCCTGCAAATGATTCCGAGAATTCAAAACCAGTCATCTCCGGGAAAACCTGAACGATGCCCCCACGAGATCAGACGTGATAATAATAAATTATACAATCTCTTGTAGCCTTATCAGGTCATTGATTTCACAGATACCAATCAAGGTTTAATTATGCGAGACGTTCAGCATTCATCGTGGAAGTAATCCTGCCATTTAAAGCATATTAATTGCGCATTACAGCCATATTGTGCATGTGTTTCGTATGTGTTATCGGACTCCTTGCAGAGCTAATGATCGCTCGACTGCTCAAAAACTTTCCCACACTTTACGGAAATCAAATCGTGTTGCGAATGACCCACCTGCTTCAACATTTAATTAGCTATAAATTTTGCCCACAGACTGTACACGTGGATCTCGTAATGATTCCCACGGCATATGACGAAATTTTCCTTAAAAAAAATGAAGAACAGAAAAGTTCCCAGAATTTAATCTGCTGTCAATGTCTTCGTGAATGCATTGTTTCCACCTCACAAGTTCGCACGACGTATTGATGTTCAAAACGATATGAATATGTGAGGTCGAATGTTACGTAACTCCGTGGGCTTCCGCTATTGAATTACGCGACAGACTACACGGCCTGCAGAAAAGAAAATATATCTTCCTTGGGACTCCTAAAATAAGGACTGAAACGTCGGTCCTTAATAACAGTGTTTCCTTTCAGACAACGCCACCCCCGGGTGTGGGTGTCACCAACGCCACATACAGTCGAGGACAAGAGTTTAGAGGCACGTCCACGGTTCCGCAAAGACTGCAATGGACAGCTACACGACAAATCATTCAACGTCTGGTGGTAACTATAAATACCATCGGATTTTGCCCACAGAGCCCTTAATGTGTTTCGTACGGTGCTCACTGAAATCAGTAATGGTTAAGTGAAGTGTTTTCTTCGCGGTACGGTCTGGATTCGTAAATATTATGAAGACGAGCTTCGGCTTCAAAGGGTTAACCAGCTGATTTTCGTAATGGTGAGGTGTAGTGTTTTCTTCGCGGTACGGTCTGGATTCGTAAATATTATGAAGACGAGCTTCGGCTTCAAAGGGTTAACCAGCTGATTTTCGTAATGGTGAGGTGTTTTCTTTGCAGTACGGACAGGAATTATAAAATGGTAAAAAAAAATAATGCTTGATAAAATTGTGCTGAAAGTCACAAATAATGTTGGACGAAGTATCATGAGTCGTAAACTTTACACACAGACGCAAATCTTCCCTACGCCCACTTCCAATTGATTCCACAGGCGAGAGCAAGCCCACTCCGGTATTCCATCGGTTTCCGCTTTTCCTACTCAGTCACCTGCGACAGTGATGAGTCAGCAGTGGGGGGGGGGATAACACGAAGTGAGCCTCCTCCTTTCTCCCAGGCAATCGATATATTTCACTACAAAAGAATGGAAGTCGCCGATTAAATATTTCACTCGAGACGACTCGATGTCGGTCTGCTACTTAATTCTGCTGGCCGTCGTGTTTAACTCGGCCTAATTACATGGAATGTAAATTTATGGTAATTACGGTAAAGGAACCTTTGGGAGCGTTTTAATAGACGATCACGCATGAAACCACGCAACCACTTAGGGTCCCTAAAAAGAACAAAAGTTCTATAAGTAGAGCCGGAGTTGGCATGTTGGTAACTCTGAGAGAATTCATAGAAAGGGGGGACGGTGTTTCGTTTTGTTGTTCTTCTGATCCCCCCCCCCACTGCGGAGTGCCCCTCCCGCTGCCAGGAAGTGTGACTGTCCGCTTGCAAGGCAAGGAGAGATAAAGTCTGGGAACTGCGGCGAAGTGAGGACAGAGGAGGAGGAGGAGGAGGACAGCAACAGAGGAGAGAATTAAACTGCTACTCATTCCACTCTCCAGGGCCAACAGCCAGCAGCGACCGGTCCGAACAGAGGGAAAAGGAGAGGAGACGTACCGCTGGGGATGACCGTTCTTTGAAGGGCATACGAAGGGCAAAGGCAGCTCGCACACTGGAAGGCAAATCTACTGCACTCGAATAGCTGGAACACACAAAAAGATGGCGACTCACACACCCTTCGACAACCATGAGACATCGCCCTGACGACGAAGTCAACAGTAAAATTTTACTACCAGGCTCAAGAACTGTCCTCGCGTTATAAAGCCTGTAAAATCATCACCGTAATAACAAAACCACACAAAACAAACAATTACCCGCGAAAGACTGTACCGTCACCGTCAAAACGTGACTCATTGCACGATACAGATGTATCTCGAGCAGTTTTGTCATTATCTGATCGTAAATGGTCCAGTTCCTATTGCCAGACCCATCCGTACCCAAGAAACCACACCAGAATTTCAACTGATGACAAAAATACACGTACTAAACCTTACACTAAGCCAGTTCAATCCACTCCACGTCCTCGCTTCCAGTTACGATTTGGGCAAATGTCATTTTCCCATTAATATACGGATCTCAAATGTTTCTTAAAATGGGGCTGTCAGGACAAGTTCTAGCGTCCATTCGTGGTTTACACACGACAAAGGAAGTCTCAGAGGCGTTAAAAATTCACAGAAGACGAAGAATCACTGACTTATAAATGTCCAATGACTCTGTATACGTTACGTTTCGGATGTTAAATATTCCGCGACTTAAAAAAAAATAATATTCTTTGTAGACTACCACGTCTACATTTACAACGGCGAGAAAATGACATTACCTAGCCTGGAACTTAACACGGGTAGAAGACCCCTTACGTAACAGAGTACAATGTAACATCATGAAAATTCCTTGACGTCAGCATCCGTACATAATCTTTCCCCCATCTTCGTCGGGCTTTCTCAGTAATTAATACTGTAACCAACTACCATTAGCACTGCAGTGCCAAATCAGCGTTCTATGCCAAGTCGCACCCAAATACATCCACTGCGGGCAAGAAGCCAGGCATTGAATAAGCCCGGAACAATCCCACACATACACACAGCGACAAACACGTTTCAACCGAACACCATTCCACGCGGAGCAACACGATCTGGCACTTGCAAGGAACTCCCAACTACGAAAATAAACTCATTACGTGTTATAATTTTACGCCGGATTACTACTCAAAGTAGGTTGGAATCTGCGGTTCACAGAATCTCTCGAGATAATGCCGAGGCGATCAGTGGGGTTGAAGGAGCAGCACATGTTATCCATTACGTCAGTCCGTAC